TGAACAGTCGAACAGGGGTAGCCCCCGACTTTGTTGAAAATATAAATTTACAGAGATTTGTGGACATGCCAGAAATGCATGATGTTATGTTACCTGTAAGACACTCGTCTGATAAAATATGTAACCCGTTTGGTCTAAAATTACTTTCTTTATGTAAGCAGCATGATTTACGCATTGTAAATGGCCGATTAGAAAAGGGTGATTTTACATACACGAAGTATTTCTTATTATTATATATTTGAATGTAGAATCTCTCAAAAAGTAAATAACTTGAAAATTAAATATATAATCAATGGTAACTATTATAATAATGAAAGAAAAGAAATACTTGCAGTCACGTCATCTTGCTATGTAATTAGTTATTTACTTATGCATACATGTTATTGTATATATTATGAATGCTTGTACATGACTCTTTTGAGAGTTAATTTGCAAAATAAAGATTCTTCTTCTTCTTCATATCACTGCTGCTCTAGAAATAAAAAGGGTGCTAGCGTTGTAGATTATCTTATTGTAAATATTTTAGGTTACTGTAATTTGAATACAATGGAGGTGTTAGGTGTAAACGAATTTTCAGATCATTGTGCTGTTGAATTTTCTTTAAATTGTGATTTGTCAAGTTCAGCTAATAATACAATCATTAAAGAAGATAAATTAGTGTGGAATAATGATCATGTTTGTGACCTTTGGCTTGTTTAGAGAATAATAGATATGATTTTGACAAGATTGTATACGAAATTGATAACAAAAATATTAATATCACTGAAGGTATGCAAGCATTTTCGGATGTGATATATAAATGTTCATCTATGATTTTTGGTAAAACAATAACAAAAAATGGTCTTACTTATAGCAAAAAGGGCAAAAATCGATGGTTTAATCAAGAATGTAGGCATTATAAATCACTTTTTATGAAGCGAGAAGAAGGCTCAAAAGAGTAAACACAGAGGAAAACAGAAAACGTTTTTTAGAATTAAGAAGCAAATATAATAAAATCAAACATAAAGCTAAATTAAAGTTTTTCACGACTGAAAAAAATATATTTTCTGATTTAAGTAAAAAATCATCTCGTAAATTTTGGCAGAAAATTAATAAATTCCGAAATAAGAATGAGAGTACAAACTTCGATGTTTCTTTAGACGAGTTTGTTAATCATTTTGCTAACATGCCAAGAAATACAGATATGAATGATTTAGAAGTAAATTTAGATGAAATTCATGTAGATTTTTTAGATACAAAAATCACCAAAGATGAAATTTTAAAAGCGATTTCCTCATGCAATAGAAATAAAGCTGCATCAACGGATAAAATTGTGGCCGATTTTTTTTTTCGACGCTAAAGATTTCATTACACCATATTTAGTTAAATTATTTAACATTATCTATGATGCAGGGGTTTATCCTGATTCTTGGACCAAGGGGATAATTGTCCCAATTTACAAAAAGGGTGATAAATCCGATCCTAGTAATTATAGGGGTATTACTCTTGTGAATAGCATGGCTAAACTTTTTTCCCTTGTTTTAAGAACAGAACAGAACAGAGTTTATTTCATAACTTGTACACACATAGGTACATCGTTATTACAAGCATTTTTAAATATAATTATAGGTCACATATTTTACAATTACACATAAAGAAAAAACAAATCAATACAATACTGAGCAATGGGATATTTAATACATACAATGTGATACATTACATACACTGACAAAACTCCATTTATCAATTATATATCCATTTCTTTAAATTACTTCTGTAAATGAATAATGAAGAGTACTAAATTTAAGCGGAGAACAAACTATAACTTCGCTTTTAATCGAATTTGTTTGATAAATTATTTATATAATAATATACTGAAAAAACATCAAGGTATATATAATCAAAACTGCATCATAATACTATTGAAGATTTCTGAAGTAATCATTTCGTTTGATGTTTGCCTTTTTTAAATAATAACATAAGTTTGTAAGTACTTTATGACTTTTAGATTGTAGTAGTTCTATAAATTTGGCCATACTAGGCCTAATGTAAAAATATCGCTTAATGTATTGACTACGTAGATTTTCATAAGCACTGCATTTTAAAACAAAATGATATTCGTCTTCGAGTTCGTTAGTATCACAGAATTGACAAGTTCTTTCGTGGCGTTCTACACGGCCTCGACCATACCTTCCGGACTCAATTCTAAGTCTGTGAGAGGACACTCGAAGGCGTGTAAGAGCGCTTCTAAAAGATTTACAATTAATCTTATCTAAATATAATTCATAACAGAACTGATCTTTTACATATGAATATAGATGACTGAGCACACCATTACTAGATACATCTGCACGCCATTCTTGTAAATAACAATCGATAAGTCTTTGTTTAAAAACAGGTAAGAACTGTTTTAACAATACACTATCGGGAAAATTCCATATTTCGGCAAAACCAAGTACCGCAAGCAGTTTTTTAATTTTACATGGCCAGTTATTTGTGCCATTTTCACATTTGTCACGGGCATTTTCGTAAATGCATTTTAATATAATGTTATCCGTATTCAGTAATTTAAACCAATACTTTATTATATGTGTGTACCTAATGATAAATAACGGATACCTCCCTAATTCCCCGTAGACCGATACGTTACTTGTACTTAATTTAACGCCCAAAATCGTTTTACAGTATTTGAGATGTACACGTTCTAACTCTTTGGACTTAGTGAAGCCCCAAACCGGGCAGGCATAGTTTAAGATAGATCCCACAAAAGCATCAAACAATTGAAGCGATATCGAAGGGCTAAGTTCATATTGTTTTATATTATTTAGCAGTATATTTGAGGCTTTTAAGGCCTTTCCGACTATGTACTGGTTATTTAATACGAATGAGCCGGTATAATTAAACACCACCCCTAGGTAGTTGAAGTCATTAACTATTTCTAGAGGCACATTATTGAAATGCCAGCGCTCATTACATTTTAGCCCACCCCTACGACGAAACACCACTATCTTGGTCTTAGATGTGTTGACTTGTAGGCCCCAGTACTGGCAGTACTCGTATAATTTGTCTAAACTGGCCTGCGAATCTTCAACAGAATGGCCAATAATTGCCATATCATCGGCGAATAGCAGTATGATAAGGCACATATCATAAATAGATAAACCTGATTTAAGAAACAGAATAAACAAATGGTGCGAGACAGAAGACATTTTTTGTGAAAATCAGTTTGGTTTCAGAGATAAAAAAAGCACAACCGATTGTATATTTTTATTATCCAAAAAGTGTTACATGATAAAAAGAAATTGTATTGTGCTTTTACATACTACGAAAAAACCTTCGATACAGTTAATAGAGGCGCATTATTTGTTAAATTGTTAAAAGAGGGAATTAGCAGTAAAATGGTGAATATGATAAAAGCAATATATGAAAAAGTTTCGTCATGTGTTAAAAATGCTTGTAAATTTTCTGACTTTTTCGATATATCAATTGGATTGAAACAAGGAGAGCCACTTTCACCGATAATGTTTATACTCTTCATAAATGATGTGTGCAAAAACATTAACCTTAATAGTTTATCAGACTATGATCTTAACCAATTATGTGTATTTGTGTTGCTTTCTGCAGATGATATGGTTGTATTTTCTACCGATCCTAATACTTTACAGAATCACCTTAACTATATATATGTATATGAATATTCCAAACAACGGGGTCTTAAGATCAATATAAAGAAGACCAAAATTTGTATTTTTGAAAAACGTAAATCTCGAGAGCAAAGACAATTTTACATTGATGATAATGTTATTGATATTGTAGACAGTTTCTGTTATCTAAGAGTGACTTTTGTTTCAAATGGTAACATTGCTAAAACAGCAAAAATTCTTTCTGATCAGACTTTAAAGGCAATGTATAATTTGTTAAGTCTTTTTACAAGAATACATGTCGATATTATAACGAAACTTAAACTGTTTGATTCCCTAGTTGCACCAATTCTACTTTATTCTGCGGAAGTTTGGGGAATATATTGTCCTAAAGAGGTTGATAAGATTCACATAAAATTTTGCAAAACCATATTAGGTGTGAAATCGCAGACTCCAAATTACGCTGTTTTAGGTGTTTTAGGGAGATTCCCCTTATCAGTTATTTGCCAAGAAAAATCTCTAAAATATAACACTAAATTAAAATCAAATCCAGAGTCATAAATGTGTAAGTTATTTTCTATTGAGTGTAATAGTACTAATGGTCAAAATTGGGCTCTCTCTGTAAAAAAACTATTGTATAATCTTGGTTTAAATGATATATGGGATAATTTTAATAAAGATGTAAACTATTTTCCTACTTTGTCACGAAGATTGAGAGATCAATTTATCCAACATTGGCATATGACAATCAATAATTTGCCGAAATTATCTTATTATGTTCAATTTAAAACTGTATTTGAATCAGAGGAATATCTTAACAAAATAAAAAGTGACAAATTAGTGAAACTGTTTGCATCCTTTAGGTTAAGCAGTCATAATCTAGCTATAGAAACCGGCCGTTATCGAGGTATAGATAGACAGAATAGATTGTGTGAAAATTGTATAATGCATGTTGTTGAAAGTGAATACCACTTTCTTTTAATCTGTACTCAATATTCTGAAATTCGCAAAAAATATTTTCCAAACACAGCATGGCCATCTTTACCTAAATTTTATAGTTAAATGTCAAGTAGAAAACAGTCAACTTTACTGAATGTATCGAAATTTTTAAATGAAGCATTTTTGAAAAGAAATGAAATTAATATGTCAGTTAATGCATGTCATATACTTTACTGTTTCTCCAAATCAGCTTCGCAATGATGTAACAATTGTATAACAATTATATGTTATTTGATGCATGTGTGATTTGTATATATATTGTAGTTTGTTAACCTTTGCCAGAGGCATTTTGTATGCTGATTATTGCAAATAGAATATTGAATTGAATTGAAATTATATTGTAACTGTCTCCCTAATTAAACATTACCTAATTGATTTTTGTCCGGAAGTTATCTTGAATTGCTTGAACGAATACTGGAAAATAGTTAGCTATGTGCTAATTACTTTGACAATATCGGTATATTTAATTTGAATGATTGATTATCGATACAATACTTTCAAGTGAAAATCAAATAATAAATAGAGTACTTCCGGGTGTCTATATAAATTTAATTAGATCTTTCAAGCAATTAGATAGTACCGGAAATAATTTTCAATGTTTTAGTAAATTTAATATCAATCTTGCACTTATAAAAGCGTCAATTCGTTTGTGCTTGGACACCATTACATTCTATCTTGACTTTGTTACTTAAACATTTCAGACATATTTCACCACGATTTATCTCCAGTTGAAAGAATAATATCACCAGGAAAACTCTCCTATTTTGGGGTTAAGAAATCGAGGTAAAAGTAACTGCTGAATTAATTTCTGTATTACATCCTTTCTTATTATCTATTTTTGTATACATGTATTTATCTGTACCTACAGGAAATGAAGGAAAAATGTAACTGAAAGATACATGTTTGAACAGACGGGATATTCATCATATCAATTATTTACGATATTATGAAATAAGATTTATGCATATATAAAAATATAAGGTTTACTGAGTTTGAATAGATGAAAACTGTTCAGTAAAGACTATACGTATTTAAAATTGATATTGCAAAGCTTCGATGCAGGATGAAATTATGTCTGAAATTTTTGTTTGTTTTACTTTTTTTAGACATCAAGAAACCCAGTGGTAAAATTCGCACGAATACAGAACACGTACAAGTTTTAGATTGTCATATCTGTATAAACAATACTACGAATAGAAGTTATTTGAAAGGAATCTTATTGAGAGGACATATTTGTGACCAAAATAAATATACTGGTTAACATTTGACAATGCACACTGGAGAAGAATATAGATGTGGAGTATGTGAAAGATCATTTACTAATGAACAAACTCTTAAAAAACATATGATATTACACACCAGAGATACAAGTTTTCAATGCGAAATCTGTGAAAAATCATTTTCTCATCAACGTTATTTGAAAGAGCATTTAACAATACACACAGGAGAAAAACAATATGAATGCAAAATATGTGACAAATCATTTCCTCGAAATAAATATCTTAAACGACATATGAGAATTCATACAGGAGAGAAAAATCATCAATGCAAAATCTGCGATAAGTCATTTTCTGTAAAAAGTACTTTTGACAGACATATGAGAGCACATACGGGCGAGAAGAAATACCGATGTAAAATATGTGACAAATCATTTGCTGATAACCATACTTTCCAAGGACATATGACGATACACACAGGCTTAGGGAAATATAAATGTGAAATATGTGAAAAATCCTATCCACATTCTACTTCTCTTAAATTACATATGGCGATACACACTGGACAGAAATTTCAATGTGAAATATGTGACAAAACATTTACTCAAAACAGTAATCTTAAAACGCATATGATTACACATACCGGAGAAAAGAAATATAAATGTGATACTTGTGAAAAATCGTTTTCTCATAAAACTATCCTTAAATCACATATGATTACACATACTGGAGAAAAGGCATATAAATGTGCAATATGCAACAGAGCATTTGCCTATAAACAATCTCTTGAAATACACGTGAGGACACATACTGGAGAGAAGAAATATCAATGCAACATGTGTGAAAAGTCATTTAATATAAGTCGTAATCTTAAAAGGCATATGCTACTACACACAGGAGCGAAGAAATACAAATGCGAAGTATGTGACAAAGCATTCGCTGAAAAACGTTATCTTAGTAGACATATGAACATGCATTCACAAGAATGTAAAAATGTGTGTGAAGTCTGTGACAGACGGTTTACTCAAAAAAGCTATCTTGTTGCACATATGTCAATACATACAGGAGAGAAGGAATACAAATGCCAAATATGTGATAAGCTTTTTGCTCGTCACAATTATCTTAAAGATCATATGCTGATACATTCAGAAGAGAAGAAATATCAATGCGAAATCTGTGATAGACAATTTGCAACAAAAAGTAGACTTACAAAACATATGAAAATACACACAAAAGAGAAGAAATAATGATGGGATCATCGTTTCTTGTCTTTTTAAAAATGTTAATACCTACTACATGTATTTGTTAGATCATTTTCTCAATAATGATATCTTCTTGATATAATGTTGACAACATTACACTGTATAAACTGTGAATAGATAATTTTGAAACAATCATGCCTTTGTCAGTCTCTTTTAACTCCAATAGGGAGTGGCTTATGAAAGAAGACTGCTGAAATAATGTGTAGTGTTTATTACAAAATGACAAAGAAGCTTGGTGGCGATGAACAAATTGTGTACTAATTTGATTAAGTAAACTCATAAAAGTTATATTAGAAATAAAAATTATTATGTTTATAAAACTCGTACGATGATGATTATAATGATATATGAAAAATGACATGTATTATTACGAAACGAAAAAGGGGTTTGGTGGTAAAGGCCAAGTTTTCTTAATTATCCAATTTGTACAAATTTGATTTTTAAACTTCTTAAGTTCATGTAAAAATGAACATGTTTATGTTGATAATGTTTATGATTATGATGGTGATGATGATGATGATGATGATGATGATGATGATCAAGACATATGGTATATAATAAAAATGGTTATAACATTAAAAAGTTAAAATCAAGCTAATGTTTCATGGTTTAAAGTTAACATAAATTTAATTGTTGAATGGACAATTTCAGCTTTATCTGACACCTCCAGATTGATTCAATAGAGAGATAATTATGTTCAATTTACAAAACAAATAACGACGCACAAACATAGCTGAATGCAGCAAATGCAAAAATGTAAATTTAATTATTCTTGCGACGAATAGTGACTGTTAATGAGACATGGATCGGCCTATACGAACCTGAAATGAAATCAGTCATATCTGTGAAAAACTAGTTATCGCCTACACATAAGAAGTTTAAAGTCAGCCCATCTGCAAAGAAAAAGATGTTCATCGTCTTCTTTTGTGGCGACGGCGTGATACTGAGTCATGCGGTGCCCCTGGGTCAGACGGTAACGGCGAAGTTTTATTCTAAGTTTAATAAAATTTATAAGATTTCTTATGCAATATTCTTTCTAAAGTCAATACATTACCTAAAATTTATTAATATTTGTGTAAGTAGTTATGAAATAAATCATTACAACAGTTTATTATGATTATGATATTATTATTCTAGAATATATAATGTCCTACCAGCCGTATGCGCTGATTTATTTCTTTTAATTCGAAGAAGATGTACTTTAAAACATTTGTCGGGCCTTTTCCTGTGCGAAGTGGTCATCTCCCTCCCATGATGCATAATTCGGCAATATTTTTTGCATTATTTCAACATGAACTGCGTTACAGAAGGTACAGTACTGTAATTATTATAGCCTGATACCTATACTAATTAACAGAGTAATTTCCCTTTGTTTTACAAACACTTTCACAGCAGCATGATTATAGAGGTAGAGATACATGTATTGCGATTTGTTTAAGTTTTATGTATTTAAAAGACAAAACTTAAGTGAATAAGTATAGATATGATCATAGTTTATCTAGGTAAAGTACTATTTAGACGTTTGTTAAGTAATAATGATTCTTATAATTATTATAATTATTTTGGAATATTACTCAAAACTTCCAGATTTTAAACATGAAGAGGTTATAAAAAATGGACTATGAATTAGTTTTTGATACATAATACATGGCTTAAGCCGTCCCTGTTATTTTCGGCGTATTTGCCATATGGACGGCTTTAGCCGTTTCTATAATAATAATAGTAATAATAATAAATTAATAATAATAATAATAAAAATAATAAAAAATATAAAGACAATTATACCATCGACAATAATTATTATTATACTAACATATTTGGAAACATATATAATTATTAAATACTAATAACAAATAATAATAATTATACTAATTAATAATATAGTAATTTCTTAGAAAATCCTCTGGCAAATAGGTGAACAATAAAACAATAACCCTCTGGCAGCAAAAGGGTTAATGCCAAGATATTCGTAAACAAAACAAGTACATTTCATTACAATATGTGTACTCATTATATAAAATATATAGATAATAAATTTAAAGGTACAACTTTTAATACGATATAATTAAGTAATCATCTGTTTGTAGGGTATTATTTTATATGTGTTGTTTTCATTTACTATTTATGAAGTATAATAATAATATTATAGATTATATTAATGATCCTGCTTATAATCTATATTGATACATGTAGTTGAAATTACACTTTACATACATCTTTGTGCATTCGCAATGGTGTAGAGATTACCATAAAAGGTCCTATTTATGAACCTGTCCTTCTAAACACTGCAGCATCATGTAGTTTTTAAAAAGAGCATTTTTAGATTTTACTAAAGACTGACACTTATTTTTTTAGAATAATAATACCATTTTTTTCACTGTAGTATAACTTAAACAAATCCAGATGTTAATCAGGGGAAAAACAGATTAATAGTCATGTCGGTAATTCATAAATAAATTAAAAAAGTGATCTGCCCTGCACATGCGCGAAAAAGAAAGATTAAATGATAACAGTACCAGCGGGGTGTACTCTGACTTTCCATACATTTCCTTAAAAGTATCTTAATTTTTGTGTCGCACCTACGGATATAAAGGGATCACTTCCCTGTCGGCTGTCTGTCCGGGCGAACATTCAATTGTTTTTAGCTCGACTTTTTTTTTTTTTTTTTTTTTTGAAAAAAAAAGTAGAGGTATTGTTATAGTCGGGTCGGCGTTGCCGTTGCCCATAGGAACTCTGGAACAGGACCGCATATTGCTGCAAATAAATCCGAATCCGTACCGGCTTTACATATTATTTGTCCGACCTTTGAATATCTTTTCATATTATGCGAGCGGGTGGTCTTTAATTATCTTATCTCAATTTAATATAATCTGCTAATTTAATCAAAGCGCTGAAAGCACTGCTGGGGGCGCATTATGTTGATTGTATAGTGGTCTATTGTTACAAGCAGATGCCATTCCTACTTTCAAAGCAGATGTCACATTTTTACTCGATTATTCGATAAGAATAAGTAGAATTATCCTAGTCATCTGAACATTGGCGTCTATCACCTCAATTTTTCCCGAAGTCCATTGACATATGGCATTGAAACTTTGCACACTTGATCCCGATCAGGCACCCATTTGTTAAAGATTGCCTATGGCTTCAAGATATTTTCGTATTCCATAGACATCTGGCTTTGAAATAAATTGAAATGTTATACATTTCTTTGCGAGCATACTAGCTAGGACTCTCTCCAATGCTTATATCTGTAGAATATTGGGTTTAAAGAAATTTTTGGTCCTTTTGTGAACTTAAAATATTTTAAATAACCAAGGTTCTTCTTTTGTCAAGCACTAAGCATATAGTTGAGTGTGCTGTCCTACCAACAGCTATTGTTTGCATACCTTGTGAAATTAACTCCTTCAAACTTTTGTTCAGTTATTATTATACAAACACAAGAACTGTCTGAGGACAGTAAGGCTCGACTATTTGAAAAAGTTGTCACAAGGGTGTTTATTGAGTATAAAAATGCTTACCAATGAATACATAAAACTGACCGAAAAGGTAAAAAAGGCTTGGATTAAGATGTTTTATCAAGTAAATCACTGCTTTATTATCATGAATGCATAAAATTGTCCCAAAAAAGGCACAAACCCTTCAGTAGTTATGGAGATAACATGCTTACAAGCAAAACTTTACCATTAAATTCTAAGTTGAAAAAGGGGAGAAAAATAAGCCTAAATTCTCGATAAAATTATGGATCTTGGTTAGTAACCTACATGTACAATTATGACCCTAAATGCATGTGAAGTTTTAATATTGTAAGCAGAGTTATCCAACTTGTCAATCTGATGTACATTGTTACTATAAATAACTATTGTAAGTTTCAATTGAATATCTCAAGCAATAATTGAGATATTTGACTTTAAAATAAACTTAAACCAACGCAGACGCGGACGCTGGGTTACTACAATAGCTCTCATATTTTTCAAATAGTCGAGCTAAAAACTACCAAGTCATGGTTGAGACCATATAGTTATTCCATATATAAATATATATGTATATATCATGGAAAACATTTCAAGATGTTACAATGGATTGTAGTGTATAACAAGAAAATCAGTAACTTTAATCCAATAATCATACAAACATCTGTAAATAACTGGAACAAAATATTTCTTAAATAAAACCATACAAAACAAGAGGGCCATGATAGCCCTAGATCGCTCACCTGACTTATCAAACTCATCCAAACAATTACCTAGACAAACATTCTGACCAAGTCTCACGACAGGTGAGTCAAAAATGTGACCACTACAGTGTTAACAAGGATTATCCATATTTGAGCAGTGCGACCTTGTTTTTTACTCAGGTGACACATATTCAAACTTGACCTAGAAATCATCAAAACAAACTGTCAGACCAATTTCCAGGATACTTGGATCAAAACAGTAGCGACAAGAGTGTTAACAAGATTTTTCTATTTTTAGCTCCGGTGACCTAGTTTCACATGCGATTTCGAACTCATCCAAGCAATTACCTAGACAAGCATCCTGACCAAGTTTGATGATAATTGAGTCGAAAATGTGACCAGTAGAATGTTAACAAGGCTTTTCCTTTTGGGCGGTGTGACCTAGTTTTTCATCCAAGATGACCCATGTTGGATCTTGACTTAGAAATCATCAAAACAAACTTTTAGACCAATTAACAGAATATTTGGATCACAACAGTAGCCACTAGAGTGTTAACAAGATTTTTCTATTTTTATCTCCTGTGACCTAGTTTTTCATCTGAGATGTCCCATGTTCGATTTATTCCCAGCAATGACCTAGGCAAGTTTCCTGACCAAGTTTGCTAACAATTGAGTCAAAATTGTGACCACTAGAGTGTTAACAAGGTTTTTCTATTTTTAGCTCCTGTGACCTAGTTTTTCATCCGAGATGACCCATTTCCGAACTCATCCGAGCTATCACCTAGACAAGCATCTTAATCAAGTTTGA